TATGTATTAGTATATTTAACAACTAAACAATATGAATTACACTGATTTTATATAAAGAATGTATTTTTGAAGATATATATATGCATATATATGGTATATATATATGTATATGTATGGTATATATATGGTATATATATATGTATATGTATGGTATATATATGGTATATATATATGTATATGTATGGTATATATATGGTATATATATATGTATATGTATGGTATATATATGGTATATATATATGTATATGTATGGTATATATATGGTATATATATATGTATATGTATGGTATATATATGGTATATATATATGTATATGTATGGTATATATATGGTATATATATATGTATATGTATGGTATATATATGGTATATATATATGTATATGTATGGTATATATATGGTATATATATATGTATATGTATGGTATATATATATGTATATGTATATGTATATGTATATGTATATGTATATGTATATGTATATGTATATGTATATGTATATGTATATGTATATGTATATGTATATGTATATGTATATGTATATGTATATGTATATGTATATGTATATGTGTGTTTTAGTGTCGTTTATTGAAAAGTTACTTTTCAATAGTAAGGGCAAGTAACAAACATCCTAATATATATAACTATTGAGTAAATAAAATTTAGTGTAAATATTTGAAAAATTGTTCACAATTTTTGAATACTTTGATATAAGCATATGATTATATACTGTTGTGCGAGTAAATATTATCTGAGATGAACTTTAATCTGAGAAATCGATTTCAAGTTTTAATTAAATTGTGTAAAACAATGACATTAACATAGACGTACGCAGAAGTGAAATTACGCAGAAGCCCTGATATTATTACAGTTATTGTAGTTATATGGGCTCTTGACACTACGACGAAAAATTGTTTTCACTTTAGCTGCATCCAAAAAAGCCGTAATCTTTTCTATATCAATACTTGTTTAGTCTTCTTCGTAGAACAATTGTTTTTGAATATTTCTTCGCCTAAAACGTATAAAACGCAGGCATTCTTCAAGAATATATCTTAGTCTGCATTTGTTAGCTTCTAATAGTCTTAACCGCACTATTTTTTTTTCAAAAGTCATATTTTCATATTCGAAGTCATGTTTTCTGACATCAAATTCGTTCGCAACTTAATTGTCACCAAAACAACTGTATACAGACAACCAGTATAATATAATTTTATTATTATTTTTCTACTGCCAAGATAATTAAATTGATTAGAGAAGTTAATGGATTTGCCATAAATCATTTACTATCTAAGGCCATAGATCCTTTACGTAGTAAAGAGAATTCATCAAAATTCGCTGACAATGGCTTTCTGTTGCACCATTTATTTTATGGTTTTTATCAGATCAGATATGATTACCTTATATTTTTCTTGGATCACTATAGCATAGATAAAAAAAATAATAACACAGATCTAAAGTGTTAGTAACCACACCATTTTTCTTTAATCTCTATGGTACAGCAGTAATACCTATTTCATTGAACTCGGTTTGTATTATTCATGGCAAAGATCAACGGCTTCTCGGCCTTATGGCTAAGATCAAAATGTAATATCTGTTTTTATCAGCTTAACATACATACATTATTCATGGATATTAATTTGTTTATATTTTACAAATGATTAGGTTCTTTCTTCGATCGACAGGAGCAGTTATCTTAATGTGGCATAGATTATAATTAACGTCGTTGACAAGTTTAAAAATTCTATCAATCGTTTTGGTTAAAAGTTGGATCCACTTGATTGAAAAGATATTTTTAATTTGAAAGTAGGTTAGGCTAAGTTATATCTGATCAAACTCAGGGTTTAAAACCACCTAGAAACAACCACCGTGATCAAGATGCTCAGAAAAGGGGGTCCCTAAGACAGAGTAGGAGCATCTCAATGAGAATATTTAATTTCCTTTTAGTAAAAAGAAATTGCATACAGATGTCTATATCGTTGAGCCCTTCCATCTGTTATTAAAAAGTTCAGCATAGAAAGAACTCAGTAACCATTTGAATGATATTAACGATATGCCCAAATTGCTTAGGTGTTTCTAGTAAAGTTCTGAAGCACCATTTCTGGCTAATTTGTCTGCTTTGCAATTGCCGAAAATATCCCTATGACCGGGGACCCAGATTAGTGATGTAAACTGGACTGAACACAAGGACTTTAAAGCAGCTTGACTGTCTGATAGTATGTTTTTATTCCTGCTAAATATATCATCCATTTTCAAACAAGCTATAGCTTCCCTAATGGGGATCATATTCGCCATATTTAAATCCTCTCCTAAGGAGGGATCACCTGACGTCCATAAATCTCTAGATGGAAATTCAACTTCCGAATTTTCTGTTGAAGTGGAGAATGGAAGAGATGTAGTAAATTTGATAAGGAGTAAAATTAAAGACATTAAGGACGGAGGCGTGTCCATTGTCACTGGGCCTTCACTGTGAGATAGCTTTGAGTTTAAGAGCAGATGAAGCTGTCATTTGTTTACTAATGATATCTAGTGGAAGTAAATGAAGCATCAGATCTAGTACAATGGATGATATGATGCACAAGGCTCCAGTAATACAGAGTTCAGCTCTGCGCTGAAGTACCGAACATACGTACAATGATGTCATATAGCAGTATAGATCTAATAACAGTTATGTATAGCCATTGAGTGAGCTTTTGAATAGCCTTTTGACATAAGAGGAGTGGAATATTGTCTTTCCTAGCGCGCTCTAATGTGTTTGTGTTTTGCTTCCAAGTAAATTTCCTGTCGAAAATAAGCAGGTAGAGAAATATTAGGGATCGCATGGTTTCTGGTGAAAACTATGATCTCGTTTTTTTTGGGATTAACCATTTAGGCCACTTTTTTGTGTCCATTTGTTTATGATATTTAAACTATTTTGCAAAATATCCCTAAGCGTGGTTTTTTTTCGGCAACCATTATCGCAATATCAACCGTATAAGCAACAGTTTTGCAGCCCGATGTCCTCAGTTTTATTTGTAGTTCATTCATCACTATGTTCTTGAGAAGAGTGGAAAATACTTTCCCTTGGGGAGTACCTCTATTCACCCTTATGCTGGTGATGAGCCCATAGTTGCTTTAATAAGTCTGCCAGTTAGCAACTGATTTGAAAGTTAATGAGCGCATCATCAACACCCAGATCCGAGATTCCGCTTACAACTGCATATGGAAGTTTTTTGGTAAAGGCTCTTTTAATATCTACGGAAACAACCAAACAGAATTTTTTAAATTGAATGGTTTTTTCAATTTTATAATTGAGGGCGTAGAGAGCTGAAAGGGCGTGAATATGCTTGCTTTCAGAAGCAAGATATATAAAAAGTTTTTAAGCATTTTTATTAGACAATTAATTTACCACTGTTGTTGTTAGAGTAATAACCGAATTTAAAAAAACGAACTAGGTTTCTATTATTCTAATTTAATTAATATTTATTTACAGAAAAATCTTTAATAAAATGTACAAAGAGACAATACGGATTAAAGGCGAAACACAAGGCAAATTGGATATCATACGGACAACAAATGAAATACCCAACAAACAATATTTAAATGATTTATATAAAATAAATAAAAAACTCAATCAGGCAAAAATACGTCCAGCGTTTGGAGCACGAGGAGAAGGTGTTGTACTGAACAATGAAATGTCAGTAAACACTGGAGAATTGCGTAATAGCGTTCAACACAATAAAGGTCCAAATGTACTTGGAGGTGTAACTCGGGGAATACCGGAATCACACGCAACTATATCAACATCTTCAATAAATCAAGTGCGATTTATTTATCAGAACTCAATAACTAAGAAACGTGATATCAGCGATGCTTCTAACGATACAGTCACATCTGCGACATATAAATCTGCTTTACTAATTTTGAATACTGGAACTCCGTTTAATTTTGGAAAATTGTGCAAGAAATTAAGTAAGGAATTTTTCGAAAACATTTCAAGCAAAAAAGATTTCGAAAATGTTATGTTCGGAATGGGCCTAAGTTATACAGAAGATGTTATTGACTTTCTTTTGAAATTGGCTAGTGACATAATCACTTCTATTAGACCTGGAATACAAGCTCATATAGGAATATTTATCTCTACTGAAAGCATTTTGTATAAAATGTTAGATCATTGTTTAACTAATTACGAATCTAGATCTCTAAAATTTTTACAAAATCAATCGGATGTAATCAAAACAGCTGTTAAAAGACATTTTCTTTCATTTAATCCAAATAACAGTGGATTACAATATTCCTGTGCGACGTGTAGTGGTTATTATACTAATTATAGTGGCTAGTACCTCTGCAAAAATTTAATGGCAACAAAATTTACTTTTAAAATTAAAACAAAAATGTTTAAGCTTGAATTTATATTATATAAAATCATATATATTGTATGTCACAAATATTTTAATTTTTTTTTAATAAACTAATAATAAAGAGAATATATTAGTAAAATATTAAACTGTTTGTAATATTGGTTAATATGAACACATATATGAAATTATTCAGGCTTTAGAGCTGTTGGTACTATGCTATCACGGTTCATCTGTTCGTGGACACGCTTTTCGGTTCGAGTAGAATTTTTGAAAAGATCTTTCTTGCACAAAAGAGCTTTCTCTGGTTGATGGTACCATATATGAAATCGTCAATACTAATTTAAATATTAATTTCGTTTTAGACAAAAATTTCGTCATTTCGTATTTGAAGAAAATAACGACAGAAAAGTATCCTTCATAAAACTTATATTGAAAGGTTCTCTTATGAGATGTTTAAAGATTATTCCGTTTCAGGAACGAAAAATGTAATATTTTTTGCTAATATATTCTGTTTTAGTTTAAACATACATATGGCATATATGATTCAGCTATTTCTGATCTCGGAGATATTCTATCGGTCATATGAGAGGCACGTGAACCTCGACGATATTGTGTCTCACAATTGTTTAAAATGAAAATGGAAACAAAAAATGAAATATAGATAAGGAGAAATTGTAAACAAAAATAAATCCATTCCTATTGGCATTGCTATTTAGCAAGGAATGACGTAGATATACTTCTCTTTATAGGTATAGAAAATATCGCTAAATCACTTGTACTGTTGTGATGAATTGCTTGAATTTAGTTATGGCAATTTAAATCTAAAAGAGTGATCGTCTGATTTTTAACTAACAGTCTTTCAGCTTAAAATTATAGTTCAATGCAAGTAAGTTAAAGGGGGTTTTCTCCTACACCAGGGTTTGTTTTTAATTTTTCCGATGTAACACTCTTAACTCGACACTCTTTCTCGATCGGGCTTTCTTTAACCCATCTAAATAATTTTCTCACTTTGAAAATAATTAATTTTTTCTTTAAAATTATTTATTTATTTATTTTATTTCAGTTCCTGAAACTGAAATAAAATTTGTATTCTATCCTGGTCCATAGCAGTCTTATGGATCGCAATACCCTGCAAATAATGTACAGATTATTGAAATCCATAGTGTTCTTACTACAATTATTAAATTAAAATTTCTAACTAACAATATAGGTATAAAAAATACAAATAAAAAAACAAATAATTTTAGATATCTGTTAGATTATTTTCCTATCATAATCTAAATACTTGCACATCAGTTGCTTATTTGTTTGATAGAATCATTTCTTCTATAAATTTGGAAATTTAATACTGGTATTGCCACTTTTAACATTTTAATGGGTTTCTCCTCATTTAAATATACCACTAAATACTATAGAGAAATCAAATCGCAGGATTTTCACAGTCTATTACTTAGTGAAATCTTTTGTAAAATTAATTTACTAGTCCCATAGATCACAAAAACTTTTAATTATGTTCTGTAACCATACCGGTTTTATAACTGTATGAAGAAGATTATTGTAAGAAATACGTAAGTTGGAAATTCTGAAGTAAATCTCTTTAATGATTTTTATATATCAATAAGTACCTATCTTAACTGGTAGCATTCTTGTGAATCTTAACAAAAGATATTAAATTAATATAGAAAGAAATGTACAGTGTCATTAAATCTAACCTCTTCAAGTACAGTAAATTAGGGTTCAAATAAAGAACAAGACTATTTTCTACCCCGGACTTCTTAATTATAAGGCATCAGATTTGTTTAAAATATACATTAGATAACTTGTCATACCTGTAATTAAACACATAGGAACTTAGAACATTGTTATTCTTTTTTTCCTGTAATATTATAAATTAAGACAATATATATACTGTTTGTTCAATTATATCTGAAATACGATTTTACTGCACTAAATTATTATTATGTTGAGGCTAGTTGAGTCAGTGCACCTAAGCACTTTTACTCTCTATTAACTGCGTGGTTTCTTCAAAACCCCCGTTTGTGCCTAGACTAGATTATTGTTTATCACTTTATCAGACTAAGCAATAATTGTCCTCAGATCTGCATACCTCCCCGAGAAGCCTGTAACTATATTGAGATTTGATAATGCGGTGTTGGTAAGTCTGTCAGATTTCGCAAATAATTTCAAGGCTCTATCCTTTATGTATTTTTTGATGGGATCAATACACATTATATTATAATGGAAAGCGACCTTATAATGATTTGAAAAGTACACTCTAGCAATGGATACAATATAAAACTTTGTAAATACATGTGATAAGACCTTTACTAACTAAAAATTTATTGGTTATAAAATTATTTTTAATATTTAACTGTATGTTATGCATAATTTATAATTATCTTTTAATAATAGTTTTCATACCTAATTTCATAATTTTCAAATAATTTACACCTTTTGTATTTAAAATTACTATCGGAATGTAAAGAATTTAATTGAAAAGAAATTCCTAAAATACTCAAACTATTCCTTAACTATGAATATAAAATAATACTTTTAAATATATTGTTTAATATTTTAAATATATTTAATTTGTTTACACATTTATATTTGTTTACATATAGAGTTTTTTTTAAACTGAAATATAGTGTATAATATTTATAAATTAATTTGAATAACTGTTAATTAAATTGAAACAATGAAACAAAATAAAATAATATTCAAAAATTATTAAAAACTAAATGCATATTAAGTTTTTCTTTATATAAACTCGTTAGTCCTTACCTATTTAATAATCATAATAGGTTTCGTGTGCTAGATTTCACACTCTTCAGTTCAAAAACACCAATGATTATTTGATAAACAAAAGTGATGAAGTATATTAAGAGATCTTTAGTTTGCAGTATGACTTTTTTAATACAATAATATGACTAGGTTTTTAAAAGGAAAAACTGAATTTGCAACAATATTTACAAAACTTTCAAGAAGTTTGTAGAACTAAATTTTGTGGATTCCAAATATATTTTAATGAAGTGGGAATTTTCCAAAAAATCACATTATTGAATATCATAATGTTTTATTAAAAACTATACTGCAACACAGTTTAAAATCATTTTTTTCATAGTTTCCCATAGAACTAAACAACTTATATAAGTAAATAAATCAAAAACGAAATTAAAAATAAATAATGTAAAATTATATTTTCAAAAAATTAGTTTAAGTAGGACTTAAAATTAAATTATTTAGGAGAAGACAGTTTTTTAAATGAGACTTTCTCTTATCTTTGAGTTTCTTATTTTTTATACATACACTGGCAGCAACACATTTATTTAATTTGTTTTAATTTTTGCATTTTGTTGTTGTTTTTCTGTTTTTGCTTTACTAAATATTTTACACATTTAACTGCCATTTATAAAATTCTTAAAATAGAACATACATATTTTGTTTAAACTCGTGACAAATGCTGCAGTAGATTGCATGGCCAAAATGCTTCAATACGTTCCTTTAGCAATTGAAACGGATATGATATCCAAGTAAGTACAGTTTGTGCCAAGAACCCCATTGGCTCAGGATACTGATGTGTTAACAACGCCAAAAGAGCTGTAAATGAGCACAGTCCCGCTGTAAAAAGTATGAAAAATGGTAATTCCTTTTTAGGATAAACTGAAACTTCATGAAACGCCGGTAAAAGTTCCCGATCAGCACATTCTGTACAAGTAGGGTAGGGATAAAAAAGATGACCTTTCTCTAATGGATACGGTAGCATGCGAAATGTACCTTCCCAGGTGCAATGTAATAGATTTAAAGCACCCTCAACGTTTTTCCAATGTTTCAGATGAAAAAATGCATATGCAAGTGCTTCAGAGTCACCACGTTTAAGTATATGTTCTGGTGGCAAAATAAGAGGTTTTGTTTCAAGTAAATATTTAGGTACATGTGGATTAAATTCAACGGCACGATGTATAGCTTCCACAGCACTCATTTCTGCAGGACTTAATCCACGCTTTGAAGCAATATCAGGTGAAAATTTATCTGCTACTGCACGTGCTTTTAATAATGCTGCCGTATAACATATTGCTGCTGATTTTGGCAATGATATATCATCATATTTTGCCAAAACTGCCTGACAATCTGCATACGCTTGCATTTCTAACAATGTCTCAATGAGATTCTCATGTATATTTAATACATTCATAATGGATGGAATCTCTTTAGTTAGATCACGAAACATTTTTGCTGCTTCTTTTAATTTTCCTAATTTACGCGCACACATTGCTAACCTACGTTTTATATAAATGAGTACATTTGTATCTCGTCTATGGATACCTTCAGCCACTGGACCCTGGTGTTGCGTAGCTTGTGACTTACGATAATTCATTTCTGCTACTTTCAACGCAGTTTTTAGTATTTTTTCGGCTTCTTGTATTGTAGTAGCCTCTTCTTCTGCAAGTAGTATGTAAGCAGGTGCACATTCTGAGTTGAGTTCAAGTGCTGTTCTAGCAGATTTTATTCGTTGCACTGGATTACGTTCGCGCCATGCAGTTTGCATAATTTCATATTCTTCTTTACGAGCATCCCCTAAATAAATAAAAATTTTACAAATATAAATTAAAAATATCAGATCACTTACCTTCACAAGTAAAAAAAGTTTGATGATCTTGTGCACTTAGATTCATATCATAATATGTTAGAGGCTCTTTAGTGGTCGCCCAGAAAAATCGTTGATATTCAGAACCACGAAAAAGATTTAAAGGATTACGCCAAACTTTACATTCTGGCATTTGTTGCCCGGTGCCTGGTGTAGATGAACCATTAATACCACTAGCACTACTACCGTTTCCTTCCGTTTGAGGATCAGTACCATTAATCCATGGACTTATATGATTTATGGAAACTTGTTCTGATGTTGAAATAACATTAACAAAACATACATACATGTTTTATTGAACTAGCATAACTCAAATTTGCAATAAATGTAAACAAGCTATTACCTATAAAAGACGTGCCATATTTACGAAAGTACCACCATTCAAATATAAGTATAAGTCCAGATATGAGACTTGATGTGCCTGTTAGTGCAACATAAAATTTTGGCGTCAGGGTGCTCAAAAACATAGACGAGTCCCACATTTCAACTTTTTTTTAGGATAACTATGTTCCCGTTTATATTTTAATTCAATTAGATGCTTAATTTGTAACTTAAATTTACATAGCAAACTATTTATTTTTCAATAAGTTGCATTGTTGTCTTTTTGATTTAGTACATTTAAGCATAAGCGATATTTTTAAAAATAAATATACACATTAGCAAACTTCCTTTTCTCTAAATTTCTTTTTAGTTATATTCTGCAAATTTTAGTGCTTTGAAGTTTTATAGATGTAGCAGTTTTTATATTTGTTTTTTTTTTAAGCAGAGTAATAGTAACAGAGTAATATTCACATTATAATGAGCTCATTCATGCACCTGATAGAACTTTTATAAACTTCACTTAATAAAATATCACCCAAACAAATATACATTTTATATATCAATTACATATTCAATTATTAAAAATAAAGATTTTATGATATACTTACTTCCTCAGTGCCTTATATTGAAAATGCTTGCAATATATATCTATACAATATTATGTAATTAAAATTTTTCTTTACAATAAAACTTTTCAAAAAGTTTTCTCTTTTCAAAAATTAATACCTACCGTTATTAAACAAAATTACTTAAATATCTATAGAATATATAATTGCCAACAGTTTTTTATATGCATATGTTATATACTCGTACTACAAATCAAACAATTTTAAATACAAATATATAATTTATTTAATATCTATAACTATAAATAACTATAGAAAGTGTTTACTAACGTTTTTAATAAAAATCAAATTACACAGTTTACCTTTCCATGGGCTCGCCACGAGCAAAATAACAAAATAACAATGCAAATTATAAAATTGAAAGTGAGAAATTGACAATACTGATGTGTCACTCCATATAACATGCATTTTCATCATAGCCCGAAATAGCCAATTTTGCCGTGCCCGAGACACTACATAATATGGTTTTAAATTAATAGGCACAAATTGCCCGGCTCTCATGACAAAATTTCAACTAACATATTGTTTTTTTCTGACTCTCAACATATTGTTTCTTTCTGACTTTAAAATTTGTATTGAAAATAACAACAATTGCACTCATGCAATTGTCCGAGACACTACATAACATAACATAGCTCAAAGTCAAATATCATATGCTTTTCACTCGCTTTACGTATTGACCAAATTCTTTGGTGCAAATTATACATGTGTATTTTATTGATATACACAAAATGTGGTATGACTATGCATGACTGCAAAATAGTTAAATAAAATTAAATATGACGAAATTATGAATAACTGTGGCTCGTTACGTTTCTTTTATTGCATATCAGCTGACCATTACACATTTTCAATTAAAATAAGATAAAGTAAATATAGTAAAAAATGCTATATTCTTAAATTGATATATAAACGATGATTTAAAACATACCTAAACTTATCATATAAATCATATATGTAATCGTTAAATTTGAAAATATAAAGATGGGCTTCTTTTATTTTTTGATATCTGTTTTACATCCATTTAAATGCACATTTTGCTTTCCGCGCTTTTCGGCTCACTTACTCGTTCGTTCCATTTTCTTTTTCGGCGAGCTAGGTTTTTCATAGCGTCGGGAAGCAATTTTATTTTAAGGTTTTTGATTACATATGTTAAATATGAAAAGTTTATTTCATAAAATTATCATGAAATAAAATTAACTCTGTAAAATACTTATGTTGTTTAAAGAAATGTAAGTTAATTTTTAATAAAAATACAGTATAATTGAGTGTAAAACCTTGCCGGTCTGCCTAAAAAAGAACGCGTATTGCATATCGACTATTATTTGCAACTTTTTTGTGTTTTGTGAGAAACTATAGTTATTCCTTTCGGTGGTGCATTAGAACAAATCACAATAAATATGGCTGATGGCGTTGTGCTTGATTTATACGCCGAAGATTTGGATAAAGATTTTCCACCGCAAAGTCAGGTGTGGTTAAGAAATTATATATATATATATATATGTATATATATAAATAAATTAAAATTTTTTATTACTAGGATGAGTTTTGTGGAGATGGAGTAGATTTATATGATGATATAGGTGGTCCCAATGAAAGTACTGTTGGTGGATCTAGTGCTGCTGCTTCAGTCACCGGTGATGGTTCCAATGCTGGTGGTAGTGATGGCACTGGAAATGGGTCAAACGGAGTATACCATCAAGGAGGTGGTAGTCTAACTCCTAATCAAGCGGGACGTCGTTTTCAACTTTATATTGGAAATTTAACATGGGTAAAAGTGTTTTCTTAAAATATCCATATTTAGTGACATATTTTATTTGTTGAAACTCTAATTTATTTGTTTTGTTTTTGTAGTGGACAACTGATCACGATATATCAAGTGCAATGCGTGATATAGGTATCACAGATTTTCAAGAGGTTAAATTTTTCGAAAATCGTTCGAATGGTCAATCAAAAGGATTCTGTGTCATATCATTAGGTTCAGAGCCTAGTTTACGTATGGTGCTTGAGCGTTTACCAAAAAAAGAACTGCATGGACAAGCGCCTGTTGTCACTTATCCAACAAAACAAGCATTAAATCAGTTCGAAAGTTTACAAAAAACACGTCCAGTTCCACCAGCACAAACTAATGGACCACCACGTGGTCCCGCACCGCCAAATATGAACGTTGGCGGGCCTTTGCCTCCACATCCTGGTCCACAAGGCGTACCTCCTGGGCATCCATCTCGTATGATTAATCCCAATATGCCGCCTGGGCAATATAGGCCTCAACATATGCCACAAGGCCCTCCAGGTGGTCCAAATGCAGGTCCACCAAGAATGCAGGTAATATATAAATATAAAATATGTCTTCTAATTTATTATAGCAACTTAATGTTTGGGTGTGTGTAATTTTCTTAGTACAACTTTTTGCATTTTATTTATTAATTAATTTTTAAATTTTTACTAATTTTCAGTTGTAGAATTTGTCTGAATTGTTCTGAATGCCAAATTTTATATATTAAAATTAATTATGTTTTGTTATACTTAAAAATTTTCAGAGCAATTCCTTTCTAAGTTTTTCTTTATATTCATATGTTTTCTATAATATTAATTAAGTTTTAAATTATTTATTTACAATTAGTCCATTACAATAATACAATCGTGGTATTAATAAAACTAAAGCAGTATTGATATTTTATAAATCTTATAAATTTGATTACTAAATGTAAAAATAGTAAAATTTAAATAAGTTCTTGTTATAATTATTATTTCATCAAAAAATAAGACACTAAATATCTTAGATTCGAAATTATTACCCTTTATATAGCAACTAAATAGGTCTAATTGGATCTCTAGGATCATGTATCTAATCCTAATATCAAGACTAATCTGAATATATATATATCTTTTTTATAATATATTCTAATTATTAGTATTTTTCTACAGTTTATTAGAATGAAAGTCATTGTCTTTCATTTATGTGGTTATATGCTTTTTAATAAATATTAACACATGTTCAAAAATTAGTTAAATATACAATTTTCGAAAATGTAAACTTACTTAATATTTTAATTCGTTTAAAATTTCATTTTGCATTGTATATTCTTATTGGTAATATTTATAGTTAACCGTTTAATTTATTATCTATGGAGAACAAAACTCTATTCAAAAGACTAGTGTTACAATATATGTACTTCATCCCTTGTCGGCAAACAAAGCAGTCATATTCAATTTTTAATGCAATGTTAATCCATAATTAACCCCTACATAACATTAAGTTTTAATTAACTTTTAATCCCAGAAAAATAGCCTTTTCTTTAGAGAACTTACACAAAAACGCGATGTGCTATATCAATTTTCTCTTCTTAGTTGCTATCATTATCTTTACCTTATCTTTTTTTATAGCTAAATAACAAAATAGAAGCCTTACTTACTATAATATTAATAAGCTAATTTGATTGTGTAATGTTTTTTATTCAAATAATTTTTATTTTATTTTTTTAGTTTTCTTAATTTTTTTTTTCCAATTCATTTATATTTTTTTAATTCTTCTAATTTTCCTTATTAATTTTTTTAATTTTGTTTTTAAATTATTTCATGTTATTTTTTTTTTTAATTCTCTATACTCTAAAGTAATCGTTTGACGAATTGTGATATTTAAAGTACGTAAGAGGTTGCAATAAGTAGTTATGGATATTATCATTTATGTTTAACTTTAACCTAATATTGATATAAATAATCACATTGCACAAAACAATATATTCTAAAAGTTAATAATACAATTTGTTAATAATACAATTTGTATATTTATAGTTTAGTAAGATTTAGTTATATACAAAAATAAATAATTAAAAAGTGACCTAAGTGGTTTTTAATAAAGACTTTAAAAAACAAACTTTCAAATTTCTAAAATATATTTATTTAAATTTGATTTTGACGTCAATATGACAGTAGTGACTATATTTACATTAATAGAAACTGAAGTATTTGATAGAGGAGTTTCGAAAAATAGTGATCTATAACATAAAAAATTCTTTTTATATTTTTAATTAATTGAATTTTTGGCTTACCATACAACTTTTTTGAGTATTGCCAAATAGCCATCATCAGTGGTCTGGCAATTATTTTTTGTATTTAATTATTCGTAAAAAAATTTTTTGAGACTGCAAGTACCCAGAGTTAAACTCGTGCACTGCCAAATTAGAAGCCAACTGACCCAAAACCGTACTTGATATTTATATCAGCAATTTTTTTCTGGAATTTTGTTAATTTGCTGTGAAAGTTCATTAATAATTTCACTTGTTGTATTATATATTAGAACGAAATCATATATCAGCTATAGAATAATTGAATTAATTAATTATGTTTTTATTTTCATTTTTTAATTATTATATTTAATAATTAATTTTATTTAAATTTATCTAAAATGTTTATTTAGTAGCCTTCTTGATTCTTCGTCTTCTTGAGTTAGTGCTATTACGCACTTTTACTCTATAATAGCTCGGGGGCTTATCTCTACCCCACACTAGGCTTTAACTAGACTATATTACTATATTAGTGTAGTTAAATGGGCTGTTTAAATTGAAATATTTTTTAACCATATAATATTTCTGGTCCCCATATTGCATTTTAAGCAAGTTCTTTTAAATATTGTGTATTCCTTATATAATATTATGAATTCTCCTCATGAATACAAAAACGAATTTTCAAAAATACGTATAGTACTATATATGTATATATATTAAATACGTATATACTAAAAATTGTGATAGTGAAATAGCTATTATAGGTATTATATAGTTAAAACGGTCAAATTTAAGCATTATTTACCAAATTTGAACTAAATGCTTTCATTTTTAATTAAATAAATCTCGATTTAAACTATAGATCTAAGCAGGCGGCAACTTAATTTACAAACCACTTAATTATTAATTTTATTCTTTATGTTCATTTGCTTGTTTATATTAATTTGCTGGTTCACGTTCATCTGCTCTAGATTTCTTATAAACTTGTCAGCACGTATTGTTGAACACTGATTAACTTGCATTTTAAGCAAGTTCTTTTAAATATTGTGTATTCCTTATATAATATTATGAATTCTCCTCATGAATACAAAAACGAATTTTCAAAAATACGTATAGTACTATATATGTATATATATTAAATACGTATATACTAAAAATTGTGATAGTGAAATAGCTATTATAGGTATTATATAGTTAAAACGGTCAAATTTAAGCATTATTTACCAAATTTGAACTAAATGCTTTCATTTTTAATTAAATAAATCTCGATTTAAACTATAGATCTAAGCAGGCGGCAACTTAATTTACAAACCACTTAATTATTAATTTTATTCTTTATGTTCATTTGCTTGTTTATATTAATTTGCTGGTTCACGTTCATCTGCTCTAGATTTCTTATAAACTTGTCAGCACGTATTGTTGAACACTGATTAATTTCATATTTTTAAAAATTTATATATATAACACAAAAAAAACTTGCTTTGCTAAGTATTATGTTGTTGTTTCTGTAGTTTGAGTTAGTGCTATTGCGCACTTTTACTCCTCACATTGAGCTGTAACTACACTAGAATTATTATCCTTTATTAATCTTTTAACTGAATATCTTCCTGTGCGTCCTGAGGTGGACTTAAGGTTTGTTAGGGCGGGGTTGGGCAACATATTACTTTTGTGAATAATTTCAGGGCTCTGTCCTTGATATGTTTTATCACTGAGTCGATCCTTGGATCTCTATGCATGTCTGTTGTTTTAATATATCAAGGAATCTTAATTAGTCTTCTTAATGCCAGGTTTTGTGCTATATGTAATGGATTTATGGCAGTATTTGAGGCTTTGCTGTGTATTACACATCCGTACAGTAGTGCTGGCCTAATTATTTAAGTATATAATAACTATATTTTTGAGGTTGAAGCGAAACAGTAAGAGAATAACATAAATATCAAACTCCTAATGTATGTCAAAGCAGGCTTCAGACTCGATGTTAGGTTAAACTATTAATTTCGTATTTTAATTACTTTAGTCAGAAAATCTTTTTTTTGGTCTTTCGAAACACCAAAGGAAAGATCCGCTATTGATCAGATCTCTTAATTGTCAGATAAGATTTTGTTTGTGTTTTTCGTGTACAAACTTCCTTTTATATAAAAAAAAAACATTAAAATTAGAATAAAAATTAATGATATATTAATGAATTAAAATTAAAAAACTGAACAATTTCTAATTTCATTTTTAATACCACGCAAACGTAAATGTATTGTTATATTATACTATCTTTGTAGAAATTTTAAAATATACATTTTATATATAATATAAAATGTTTATATTATTTTTTTTATATATATAGATTTTATTATTTATTTAACTTGGTTTATTTATTTATTTATTAATATACGTATTTAAGCTGTAATTGTAAAACTAATTAGTTTTTTTTTGCGACTACTGTTATTAAAGCAACAATAGCTGCTATTATTTCTTTCATGAGATAAGATAAATTCAACAAATAATTATTTATGTATAAATAATAATAATAATTACATATATATCTTGTGGCTTTTCATCACATTTTTATTAAAATTCAATCGTTTACACGTATGTGGTAGCTATTAGCAGCTGTGTTTGATTTCACCACAAAAGAAATAGAAGAAAAGAGTTTTCTACCACGAATTACAAATGATAAAACCTTTTTTGAAAGACTTTTGTGCCAGAATAGCAAAAAGCTTATAAACAGTCTTACGTTCGATCTAACAAAGATCTTACGAAAGACTTTATGATCTCTGCCAGAATGGCCCTGTTATTTTAGCTCAACAACTTAAAAATTAGTTTCCTTTTGTGATGCAAATACATACACATTATTATTAACTGACAATTAGTTTGTATTCGTAATTATGTAGTCATATCTATATTAAATTTGTGTTTTTAACAATTGTTAAAATTTTTTAACAAATAAGACTAAAGAAACTATTTTCTTAATAGAAATAATTGTTTTAATAGAGAGGTCTATTGAACAGTAGTGAATTGCAACAAAATTGCAATTTTTAATTAATTGATTTTTTGGCTGACCACACACCTATTTCGAGTATTTCCAAATATCCATCCATCATCAATAGTCTTTTTGGAAATATTTCTTATATGTTATTATTTGTAAATAGTTTTCTTGAAACTGAAGTACCAAGAGTTGAACTAGTACCCTGCCAAACTTGAAACTCAGAGTCAGTGTTAAGTAGGTAAGTGACTGAATGGCAACACATTAACAAAATTCCAAGTAAGAACATACATGTCAAGTATAATGGGTCAGCTGGCGAATTAACACTGCCACTGACTGGCTTGCAGTCTCAAAAAAGTCATATCCATATGAAATAATTATGCATTATATTTGTTTGATTTAAAATATATTTTGAAAGACATATAAATAAATCTTGTGTTCTTAAACTTAAAATATCAAGACCCAAGTCTTTTATAACAAACATATGTCCACTCTTTAGTTGCGCTATCAAAACAATAAATGCTCTTAATATGGTTCGTAATGTTTTCATGACAGTGTCACAAACATCTTAATGAAACATTAAATATTGTACATAAAATAATTCACAATTCATTGAATAAGCTTAAATAAAGTAACCCATAATGTTTGATGTCCTTACAATGATAACGATGTTGTGATTAACTTTTATTTAATTTTATATTTGCTTTTAATTAATTTTAAAGATTAGAATGTAAGTAAAAAAAAACTAACATGCTATTAACTGGCTAATAGAAAGGAATATAAAATTTGATTTCATATATAAAGTAAATAGAAAATTTATTAAAATGATTATATATAATAAATCTTTTATAACTTAATTTTTTAATATTAAGTAACATAAAAGTAGTATAAAATTATCATTTATATAAATCGTTTTAACTACTATTATTAAATAAAATTTTTTTTATAATTTGTACTATAAATCAACAATATTCAAATTTTCTCCCATTATTTTATAGTTTAAAAATAAGTTTTTTAACATTTTAAAACATGTAGATCTTTATAATGTTAAATATAATAATTGAACTCATTTTGCATATTATTATTTTATAGCTTTTAGCATGTTCTTAATTAAACCAATAAATTTCGTTATTATAAACATAAAAGTACAATAATCTTTAAATATGTTGTAGAAAGTTTGTTTTAATTTAGTAAATAACTTGTATAAGGATAACATATAAGAAATTTAAATTATATGTCACGATTATTATTTAATTCCATGTATTTGCTGACGTCTTGACCATTAAACAATTCTTCAATCACTACTACATAATTGTTTTTTTAAAAACATAACCACAGCCACCAATGCATCAGGGTGGACCAATGGGACCACAACAAGTGTTGCAAGGTCCACCACGTTATCCGCCAAATCAAGGACAATGGTCAGGTCAACCACGGCCAAATGGTCCAAGACCAGGTCAACCGAATGGGCCACCACAACGCGCTCAAATGGTAACAAATATTATAAGAATTTTTTCTCACACTCTAGGTCTTTCTTTTTGCTAAAAATATATTTAAAAATAATTCACTTATATTTTTCTTTATGTGTAATTGTATGAATATTCATATTTTTATTCTATTTTTTATTTTATTTTCGTATTCAGAACATTCAGACCCATGCATAATAATTTTTTGTTAGCACAAATTTTTGTTTTATATCAATTGGTACAATAACCTATTAAAGTTATTATAATAAAAATCAACTTTTTAGTTCCAGGGTCCTCCTGGCGGAATGCCTATGCGTGGGCCACGACCTGATTGGAACAGACCGCCTATGGGTGGTTTTCCACCACAGGGACCACCCGGTGGGCCACCACAAGGTCCTCCTCATATGCAAGGACCACCACGTGGTCCTGCTCCACCAAATATGGGTGGACCAATGCCACCACCAGGAGGTCCTTCACCGCATGTAAATCCAGCGTTCTTTAATCAGCCTGGCGGTCCTCCTATGGGTGGTCCACCGCATGGTCCACCTGGTGCACCACAACAATCAATGGGTATGCCACCACAACATGGTCCACCGCCACATTTCGCACAACAGGGTGCACCACGAGGTCCATGGCCTGGACCTCCACAGGCGAAACCAGGCCCTTACTCCGAACAACCAATGGGTCCGCAATTGTCAGAGGTCGAATTTGAAGAGATAATGGGCAGAAATCGCACTGTCAGTAGTTCAGCAATTGCAAGGTAAAAAATAATGAACTCACCTTTTTTTTTTGAATTTTAATATTTAAATTTTACATATATTTTAAGGGCTGTTTCTGATGCAGCTGCCGGTGAATATGCCAGTGCTATTGAAACTTTAGTTACGGCTATTTCATTAATTAAACAATCAAAAGTGGCACAGGATGAACGATGCAAAATACTGATAAGTTCATTACAGGATACATTACATGGCATTGAAACAAAAAGTTATAATCGGCGCGAACGTTCAAGATCACGTGAAAGATCTCATCGCATACGGCCGCGTAGAGAGCGTTCATCGTCACGTTATCGCGAGCGTTCTCGTGAAAGAGAAAGAGAAGGTGACAGAAGGAAACGGTAAGTCTGTTATAATATAAAGAAATATATTTTTATAAAAAAAAAAAAGAAAAATTTTGTATTTAACTTTAAAAAAGTATTCTTTTCAATAACGATTTAGTGTCAAAAATTCCCAAGTTATTTGGTGAAAACAATCTGAAACGCCTATAAACGCAAGCAAGAGGAGTTATAAACTTTTGCATGTAACATATATGTTAAAAATGTGTTGTTTGTTTTTATTTCAAAAATATTGAATTAATTATAGATTTTATTAAAAAATTTGCTGCAATTATATATGGCAATTGAATATTATATATGTATATATGTAATATATATAAATATTTTAATATATTATAATATATTATACTATATATCATATATATATCGAATATAATTCGATACAACAAAGTATCTTATTAATGCAAACTATCAGTTTTAGATTATTTTTTTTTCAAACATGTAAAAATGAAATATATTATTTTATTTAAAAGTAAAGAAAAGACTGTAATAATAATTATTGTGGTATATAAAAGAGTTAATTTTGTGTGATCAAATACTTCAACATATTAATGTTGTGCTCTGTTTTAGGTAACATTTTATTTTCGTTAGGTGTTATACGCACACATATAACAGCAAATACTCGGACTCAATATGATGTTCGATCATATTTAAGCGTCTTACTGTTCTCAAGTACTTGTTAGTCAAACATTCAAAGTTTCGGTGATGCAAATAAATCAAATAATATTTGAAGCTCTAATTAATGTCACTCAATTTATGAGGTATCTCCTCATACCTCAATTTATAAAGTAATAAGTTTTATTGGATAATATATAGTAGTTATATCAGCCTAAGATGAAAATTTTCTACTATTAGTACATCAGAGACCCTAAAATAACTAAATTAACCAAAAACAAGAAAAGTTATAAGAAATGTATTTTATACAAATTCATATGAATGATGATGACATATGACATTACTTAAATTTAACTTATTTTTAGGGATCGCTCACGTGAACGACATCGTGAAAGCAAAGAGCGTGATGTTGGGTAAGTTGGGTGTTAGATATACAACCATTTTGTTTGATTTTAAAAGTTTTAATTTTATAATAAATAATTTATATAAACATCTAAACTTTAGTTACCGTGAACGCTCTAGAAGTCGCGAACGTGAACGTCAAGTTCCTGACCATTACAGAGATGATAGGTAACTATTTCGTTTATTTCTTTTTTATATATTTATTTAATAAAGTTATATTTATGTACCTAAATTTATTAAGCTCAAGCCGTTCAGCACGTCCACGTAAGTCTCCAGAACAAGTCGTAGAAGCATCCGGCGAAGCACCAACAAAACGAGGTTACTACGAGGAACGTTACCGTTCATCTGATCGAGATCGTGATCGTGACCGCGAAAGAGAACGTGATCGTAGAGAAGAGCATCGTTCACGACATTAATTAGAATATGACCGTACATTACATAAAAAGAAATAATCATTAAAATAAATCAACATAATATTTAAATATATGCAATTATAAACATTTACATATTAATATTCCTTATTAGCTTATTAAAAGCGCAAGGAATAAGAATTAATAATTCAATTAATAACACTAGAGCCTAACAAAAGTTTTCATAATACGATTAGATGAATAAAATTATTTATGGACGTCTATAGAAAACATTTAAGGAAATGTATATACATACTTCAAGCTTTCAAATCAATTATGAAACTAATTAAATCGCAAATATACGTATTTATTTCATAACCAGTGTTGAAGGAGACAGCCGAAACAGCTTACGGATCCAGCAATAATATACACAACTATATATATTCATCGCAAATGCTAAACATAGCAACAAGCAATATACAGCGCGTGCGCTTAACCAACACATGAAGATTGTATATTACATTTCGGTTTATTTAATAAAAATATAATTAAAAGAATGTTAAAAAACTAAATGTATTGTCTTTTTTGTATAAATTGACTATATTATTGATTTTTATTCAACACTTGTTTACTTTAACGACGGTAACACAAAGTTTTGATAACTGTAGTTTGTACATATTTTTAATAGCACTTAAAACTAATTTTTCTTTTTTAATGATATATTTCCCTTTTTTGTATGTATAACTTTTAATTTTGTATCTTAAAATATTTTTTTTATAATATCTATTAGGTAGTAATTTATATACTAACAACTATTTTATTTTAATTAAATTATATTATCAGCATTTGTCAATTTAATTTATTTCATGATTTGTGATTTAATTTAAGCCAACTCATTATTATATTAATAATGTATGAGATTCTTAAAAGCACATTTAAAAAATACTGTAAACATATGTAAGCATAACGAGCATATTAATAATTTATATTATTGATTTATTAATTAAAATTATATATTGCATTTTTAGAAAATTCTTACAAAAAGTAATTTTTCTTATATTGCATATTTTTTGTGTGCTATGCATACGCTACGTTCAAGGAAATGTTTGTAAATTATTAGAATATTTGCAGAAATTTAAATATTTTAGATCTAGAATTTTGATATATAAAACATAGTTGGTACATATCTATAACAATTAAAACAATAGACAACAAATAACTAATTATAACTAATTTATTATATTTAAATGCAAAAATATAGAAAGGGATTAATAGTAGTTAAATATATTAGGCTTGTAAGAGCAATGTTTCAAATGTGGCAGGTGTTAAGTTCTAAACCTGACAATTGCAACCCAAATATTATATAATATATGGGCCCATATTATATATATAAGTCCTATTATTTTAAAAGATAACGAATATTTTTTGATATTTGAAACAGCTGCTTGGTCAGCCAAAAAGTAAATTAAAATAAAATTTTTGTTTGTATTTATTTTACCACTATTTGTATTTCACTTTCTATTAAAACATGGTTTCTTTGTCATATTTGATTTTAAATTAATTAAATTAAATATGTTATTTTGTTTTAGAGTATAAGTTTATAATTCATATTTTTTAAACTTTTAAAATATATTATTAACCACACTGGTAGAGGTATATTACTTTCGGATGCTTCTGAATTGCAACAAAAGCACAGTTCTCGAACATTTATCCGATCGTACTTATAACTACAAAGCCAGCGGTGTTTTATTTATGCATTTCAGAAATTACATTGTATTTTTTATGTTTTTTAGAATTTATTATGTTATTGTTCATAATTTATTAATTAAAGGAGATATAGTAAATACAATTTCAATAAAAAATATGTATATTTATATATTGTTTATTTTTAGGAATAAAAATTTATAATTGGGCTAATTGAAAATTGAAAAACAAATTAAGTATATTTAAATAAAATTAATTTACTACAACTATCTTAGATAGAAATCTTCGTGGATTTGGCAAAATATAACAAAATATTTTGTTTCACTAAAAAAAACACTATTTGATGAAAATAATAATTTCATGTTAACTTGACAATTAGACTATTTAATAATTAATATATATATATGTATATATAAACATAATAATTATAGATACGCTATATTTTTAAGATGATTAGTATGAGTCTTTATATTTATTTTGTTTTTATTTTTGGTGTTAAATAAAAAAAGCGATGTACACAGTTTTGATTCAGTTATATATGAAATATTATTTCGATGATATTATAAGGGAAGCAAATGATGCTGTTTAAAAAATTTATATTAGATAATCTTCAAAGTCATAATATATTTTTTAATATTTCATAGATTATATATATATGAAATATATTATATATAATTTTAACATTTTTTTTTAATGAAAACTAAATTTATCTTATACGAGTCCCATGTATTATACTCATGTAAGTTTTATATTAAATACAGATGTACTAGACTTACTATTTATAAAACTGCTTTATTAAATATATTTGTTATATTATATTTTACGTGCTTTATGAAATTGTTTCTATGAAACATTTATATTATGCATTATATGCATTAAAATATATATTTTATAAATTTTATTTTAATTCTATTAAACAACAATTGTAAATTATTAGTGTAACAAAAATTGTTTAGTAAGGTGTAAGGTATACATACATATATGTTATATATATATGTATAATATATAATGCAGTTTCTAAATATTATATACAAATTGTTTAAATCAATTTTTGAAAAACTATATTTGTATTTTAGAAAATAACCATTACTAATTCACCTATGCCTCAGTGTTAATTGTGATTCTCATTAGCATTACATACTTAAGTATATAGGCAATAGTTGTGTATAGCTAACTAGGTTCTTTTTGTTACATAAATTTAATCAAACTTGGTGTAAAAATCAATAGATAAACCCTTTTACGAAATATGCAGATTTAAAAATTTATTATAGAAATTTATTTATTTTGTGAAATTTTAATCAGTATTAAATTTGTAAAAATTTTAATTTGAAAATTAAGAATGTTTTCTTGCCTAATTTATAAACTTTAACATAGTTTATACGATGCGTGGTTTCTATTAGATAACGAAAGATATGAAATGTATAAATGAATGTGGTTATTTTCGCTAAAAAATTTATAACATAAATCTATAGTGAAATTTTATTATTATTTGGTGTATTGTGTGTTAAAATTTAAGTAAGAAGTAATTATATATATTTCTACAATATATGTATATATTTTAAATTTTACTTTTTTGTGTATATATATATTTATTTGTTCATATATATATTTATATATATACATATATATTTAATCTGTACTCAATTTACATATATTTGTTTAAATGCTTTAAGTATTACAAAACTGATCTAGTATTTATTTCTTCAATATATATTTCAACTGTGATTAATTACTGTGATAATATGTTAACATAATTGATTATTAATCATGTTCAAAAATCTTAATGTTTTTATTACCTAAGCTATATTACAACCAAAGCCACAAAACACATTTTTTAAAGTGTACAAAATAGTATATTCAATTTTCTAACTCAATTTTATTTTTATTTTAGAATAATAATAATTTTGTATTTATCACAAAAATATGTTTTTTTCTGCAATGAAATAAAAAATTGAATGCAACTAAAATTTTGCCATTAGATTTTTAGAAATTATGTTTACATATACCAACACATGCTCCACTTCACTCGCTTAGTTTAATGGATTTTGAATATATAATACTTTTGAATATGGTAATAATATTTGAGTTATATATGGAAAATACCTCAGCATTATGGTTCTTTGTTCATTATTATAAAGAAAAATTTTAAAAAATAAAACCTGCGAATTCATAAAAATATTAGATTTGCTATGATGTTACAGCGTCAATTTCAGAGAAACAAATATAGTGTGTGTTCTATATATTCTATATAATATAATATAGTACTAGGATTTACTAAGAGCAGCTTTGTGTTTATTTTTTGATATGATTAATCGTGACCGTGCCTATCCAACTAGGGTATAGTATTTCTGGAAAGGCAGAGTGTATTTTCAAAGTGTTAAATATTTAAGAACTTTCAGTATACAGAAAACTACAACTGAACTCTATTAAATATGTTTTCTTTTATTTTTTTCTTGTATAAAAATTGTTAGGACTTTACAGTTTGGATCGTGAATACCCCTATTATTTTATGGTACAAATAAATGTATTCTTATATCTATACATGGTTGAAATAAATAATTTTAACATTAGAACATTTTTACTACATACAGCGTTTTTTATTTCTAGAAATGAAAATATTTCTAACATAGTACATTCTAGCTACATACCTAGACATTTTTACATTTTATGGGGCCTGAAGTGGAATAATGAAAGGAAAAATGGGTTCCATCGTGTTTCGCTTTCCCTGTGACTTCCTAAACTTGCACTGGTAAGGTCGATAAAATAGGTTTTGTGCGCATGTATTTCTGTATTACGTTAAAGTAAAAAACTAAATGTACAGAGACAAATAAATAAACATTTAATAATTAATATAATTTCAATAAGATTAATTGATAAAAACAACTAATTGATTTTGTTTAATTTTGTTGTTCAATAAAATTATATCTACAATTCAATACAGGTCCTTAAAATATATTAAAGGTTAAAAATATTTTCCATCAAATTTTTAAATATAAAAAAAAAATTACATACAAAACTCGTGTGAATCCAATATTACCCAAAAAAATTATAAGATTATAATAAATAATAAAATGTAATATGAAATAATAAATAATAATAAAATGTATGAAAGATTAATTTTATACATT